AAATAAATCTCTTACAAAATGAATTATTACAAATTATGTGGTGTAACTTTTATTTTAGTTTCTATATACAATTATTATAATAATTGAACTCAACTGAAGAGATCGCGACTCTCACATTTTTTATCAATTTATCTATGTATTTCATATTTTTATACAACATTGAATTATATATATTATTTAAATATTAGGTTTTTATTGTGTATGAAAAATGATAATACTTTAAAAGTAGACAAATTTTTACTTATATTTATAACTTATTGTTAATCTTAAGAGGTCCTAGACATAAATATAAAAGTTATAAATGTTTAATTCATTGTAATAACTTTAAGATAAGAAAATGATGATATTTACTTTTTATTAAAGTCTAAACTCAGTCTAAAGTCTAGTAGAATACCTATCTACTAAATAAATAATATTGGCAATTTTTATAGTTAACCGATGTTTATAAATAAATATGAAGTACCTAAATTGTTTGATATTTAATACAAATATAAGATTCGATTAAACATTTTTAAATGACAAGTTACAATTAGTAAATTTAATATTTTATGTCTGATCAATTAATTATTAGTTTTACTTAGAGAAGTACCTACTTTATGTTTAAAATATATTTAAATCTTATCATAATAGGTACTTACATACTACGCCACAATAAACATATATTTTTTTTTTTATTTCTATTTAAATTAAATATATTAATTTTATTTTATATTATACTTAGTACCTATATAATGTTTTCATTATCTTTATTATTAAAAGTAAATATTTAAGAAGTACCTATTATATATACACACTACTCAGATAACTATTAATCAATAATCATAAACAAATATCAAGAAATAAATTTAAAACTATTCGCATTATAAACATAAATTAATATTCTAACTATTCATTACATAAGTTATCTCAGTATTTTGATCTATAAATAATTTACCCAGAAAAATTATTTTAACATAAAGCTTTTGCGAGACTAATCCAAAAAATATTCTGTTTCAGAATATAAATTTAAAAATGCATGTTGTTATTTAAAAAAGTAAAAAACATACAAAATTATAACAATAAATAATGTTATTTTATTTCGATTGTAAATTATGTAAAATAAATATTTTCAAAAACATTAATAGATTTTGAAATAATTAGTGTTTGACGATAAAAGGATCAGCTGGTTTAATAAATACTTATCAAATGTAAATTAGGTATGGTTTTTTTTGTAAATAATACATAATTTATTCATACACAGTACTTGACTAATATTGAGACTGTTTGGGGCTACCTCAAAAATTTAGGCTAATTGCATTTACAATATTTAAAGGATTTCGTCCTATATCGACTGTCAAAATACGTAGGTAGGTACTTCTATCAGATGGCACTGATAACTTTCACGCCAAAGTTAACGATTGCGTACAAACATTGTAGGTGCGTATCACATATTATTAAACCTAATATTTATTTACACCTATGATTTATGAGTTATGTTCAATAAGTTCAATTACCTACTATATAGCACTTATAATTTATAAATATATAACATGTAGTTATTACAATAAAATATTTTAAGAAATTTAATAAAAATTATTCACTAGGTATAGTACGGACATATTAGAATAAATTTAAGCCCAAACACTCAACTATATTATAATATTATAAATAGCTAATACTCATCACTGTAGTACATTATGTCGTCACGACAAGACGTCAAGTGTACGAATAATGTAAGAATATTGTAATACGTAAGCGTTAAACTGTGCGCAGGATCGCTGTCCATAATGAACGTGGGCATAATACTCGGCTGGACGTCTCCGATCATGGAGGAACTGCTAGGACCGGACAGCCCGATACCGATGACGGTGGACGAGACCTCGTGGTTCGTATCGGTCATCGACTGGGGCCTGATCTTGGGGTCGTTGCCGTTCGGTGTGCTGGCCGACCGGTGGGGTCGCAAGCCCAGCCTGCAGATCATCGGGCCGATGGCGCTGGCCACTTGGGTGGCCCTGCTGTACGTGGACACGTTTCAGGGGCTGTTGGCCGTGCGGTTCGCGCAGGGCCTGCTGGCGGCCGGCGCGTACACGGTGCTGCCGGTGTACGCGGGCGAGATCGCCGGGCCGAAAATCCGGGGCGCCCTGGGCACCATGTTCCAGATAATGATGTACGTGGGCATACTGTACGTGTACGCGGCCGGCATGTACCTGGACTACACGCACCTGACGTACGCCGTGATGGTGGGCCCGGTGGTGTTCTGCGCCTTGTTCGCCACAATACCCGAGTCGCCGCACTTTTACGTGATGAAGAACCGGCTGGCCGACGCCAAACAGGCGCTGGTCTGGCTGCGCGGCGACGACACTGGCAGTTCGGTGGACGACGAGATGGACTCCGTGGTCGAGTGCATATGCAAGGAGATGCGCAACGCGTCCTTCACTGAGCTGTTCACCGACTGGGTGAGCCTCAAGGCGCTCATCATCGTGCAGGGCCTGTCCGTGTTCCGGGTGATGGCCGGCGTCACGGCGCTCATATCGTACGCGTCCATCACGTTCGCCGAAATGCACGTGGCCGTGGACGCCAACAAGCTGTCGCTGGTGTTCGCGTGCTCGGTGCTCTTCTCCGCGCTACCGTCCACCATACTGGCCGACCGGGTGGGCCGCCGGCCGCTCATGATCGTGTCGTGCGCGTCGTGCTTCGCGTTCGACACGGCCATATTCGCGTACTTCTACGTGGACCGGTGCACCGCGTACGACGTAACCGAGTACGGGTGGCTGTGCGTGTTGGCCGTCGGCGGCCTGTCCGTGGCGCACACGCTCGGCCTCGGCTCGCTACTGTCCACCATCAACTGCGAACTGTTCCCGTCCAACACCCGGTCCATAGCCAACGCGGTCAACACCATCACGCTGACCGTCGCTTCGTTCCTGGCCCTCAAGATATACCCCGTGCTGGCCGACAACGGCGGCATGTACCGCAACTACCTGATATCGTCGCTGTTCAGCCTCACGTCCATAGTCAGCTGCATCCTCTGGCTGCCCGAGACCAAGGGCAAGACGTTCGCCGCCATCCAGGCTCAGCTCAGGAAGACGGACGATTTGGTCTGAACGCCTGCGCGTGATCGAGTTCAACCGCTGCCGATGGAGGAGGTGGAGGTTGGTGAATGGTGACAGGTCGGCTTGTATTAGCCGGAGTCGAACACCTGCACAATGCGTTTAAGACTTGCCGTCGAATGTGTAGGACGTTAAATAGGTACATAATATTATATAACGATCGTGGTGGGACGTTCTTCCTGCTGCTGCTGCAGCGGGAGAAGGACTCGTGCCGAGTTTAGACGGCGATGGGAGTGCATTTGCCCGAAAATACTAGTCATCGTTTATTAGAAATAACGTTTATTTGTCACTAAACTCAATGGATAAGGGAATCATTTTTTTTTTTTTTTTTTTGAAGCATTATTTATGTGTATACATCGACTTATGCGCAAACAGAATATTTCAGTTTTCAAAATGCCGATATATATATATATATATATAATAATTTCCGAATGTTTGTATAAAAAATTATTTTTCTTTTAGACTACCTATATTATATTATTTATAATTATAATTGTTATTTTACGCGTGTATATTTTTTAAGTGACGATAGACAAATTTTGTAAATATATTTTATGAATAAATTAATAACAATTGTAAATAATACATTGTATTTTTACCTATGTACACCAATCAATTTTATTTATCTTAAATATCGAAGTTGAATGACATTTTATACATAAATAATAACCTATTTGTACTATATAATTTATAATAAAACTTTTTACCAATACATCGTTATTTTCTTCACTAATTGAGATCCTCAAAATAGTTTGAGTACTCGACTAGGGACAAGTGTCAATTTATGTAATCCATTTAATCGTATTTTTTAAGTAATTGTTTTTATCAAAGTGTGATATAATAACTTCAAATTTTCTATCTATACATTTTTACTGAGAGCTATTATTCTTTTTTCCTCGAACAAAAATACGTTGTAATTATGTCCTACTCGAATAGAAATTACTATTCTGATAATAGTAAGATTATAAGACTAATATTTTTTTCAAAAACAAAGTACACTGCTGATTAGTGATTACTGATAAAAAAAGGTTAATGACCAAATCATTAAGTATTATTAAGGTTATTTGCATACAGTAACAAAATATACAAATTATACACTGGGCGATTTCGAACTTAATACTCTCATTTTTACAAAAAATTTTGGTATTTATTATACTGCTATTTTAAAAATAATTTAAAAGCTCTTTATCTCAAGAACATTTTTTTGCGGATTTCCCTTATTTTAAATAGCAATCCTCTAATTTTTAAATGCATTTTTGAAGTAAAATATTTGTTATTAAAATGTTCGCAGAACGTGTAATTAATACTCTATTGTTTAAAAATTATAAACAATTAAAACGTAGACAAGATAAGTTGATCGGTAAATTAATCGATTACCTTGTATATATATCCCATGAATTTATCTAATTTATTTCTCGTACTACTCGGCTTATCTAAATAATAAATTCTTAAACATAGTAATAATTTAATATTTTATATTTATTAATTATACATTTAAAGATTAACATATTTTGTAGAATACATAAGAAGTATAGCGGGACATTTAAAAAAACTAGAATCGATATTTAATTTGTTTTGAATAATGAATATTTTATGGTCTACCATATCAATACATAAAAATGTATTATATTTTAACTTATTAATCAAGATTACAGTTGATTGAAAAATAAATAATTATCTTCGTATAAATAAAATCTCGTTATCGCAGTTTAAATTACATAATAACCATCAATATCTTAAAATATTTTATTTGAAGATTATTCTTTTTTAAGAATATACGTGTAAAATATATTAGTAGAGTGTCCTATTTGTTACAACATTAATTAACCTTTTGTCCTTTTATCGTTTTAAAAATACTAGTAATAATTAATATTAAATTTTGATTGAATCTAAATAAAAATATAACATTACACTTTACACCTAATAAATAAAATAGTTATTCGAATTATAGCTCAACTTTTTTCATATTAGTATATTACTTAATATAGTTAATTATTTAAATTATTATTAAAACCCAGAACTCGACGCATTTGCATCTTTTTTTTTTCTAATGCTTATATTCAAGACTCATCTGTATAAAAATTTGACTGATGTCAAATAGTATGAATTAAATTGTTTTGAATTTATAGTATTTTTCAGATAATTCTTGATTTACAAGTCAGTTTTTAGCTATTTTAGTTCATTTTATTCATTTTTCTACTTTTTTAAGGTATATTTGTATTATTTCTGAAAATATATGGAATATACATCTATATTAACATGGACCGCCACATGGGCCAGCGCTAATTGGTTCATATTATAGCAAACCCGTAATATTTTATTTGGAATTATTTCAGCTTATGTTTGACAGTAAAAGTGACTGTGAAATTTTAAGTATTCCTAATTTAAAAATTTGTTTTATAAAAATACTTAATTACAAGAAAAGTAACAACTCACGCTTAAATTATTTGCAAAACAGTACGACAATGGTTTTTTTGGCCTGCATTTAAAATTGAAAAAATATATTTCTGAAAGTCCCTACCGGAGTTCAAATACTAAAAAAAATAACACCTAACATTCTATTACCCCCAAAACTTGTGGTAATTAAATGGGAAACATGGTTATCGACAGTCTTTTATTATTAGGAATACTTTAATACAATTAAAAATAAAATTATAAAACTGAACAAACAAGATGCAATCTCCATTGAAAAAGTAGTTAATTTAATAGCTGATCCAGAATTGAAATTAAATTAAATTAATATCAAATAAAACTTTGTATCACTACCGGATTCAATAACACAGTTGGAATTTTCAAAATTATATCTTGCAAATGCTATAAAAGTTGTAGAGGAAGAGAAAAATAAAATTCAACTAACTAGCAATATTGTTAGAAATAAAATTAAAAATAAATTTTCAGTTGTTTTACAAAAAAAAATAATGGATATAAAACAATGAAAATTGTTACTATAATAACATAACTTATTTTAAATATGCACCTAACACATCTTTGTAAGTCACCTATCTTTTTTATTTTAAAATATTAAGCATACTTTATTTATTTAATATAACACATTTAATGATCAAAACACCTTATTCCTATATTTTTAAAATTTTTATGTAATTTTATGTATCTTTTTTCATACATTTGTTCATATTTTTATTAAGCTCCGAGCTCTCTAGTTATTATAAGTATGAACTAATAATAAATATATAAATTGTACACAAATTGAAAAACATTTTTTTTTTTTTTTGTTTTGTAAAATGATTTTATTTATATTATTTATTATTTTAGCAAAATGCATTTCACATAAAAGTCATGTAAATAATACTTATATTATACCCTTGTAGTAAATAATCAACCCTTATGTATCTTTAATAATTTATTTATAAATATGGAAGTGTAGACTATAGAAGTAGATATTTAAATATCGATTTGTATCTATATTATTATTATATTATTATCGTGTTATTTCATAAATAAATAACCCAAATAAATAAAAATATATTTAAACTATCTATACAGCAAACGATTCTTTTACTCAACGTTTCTTGAAATTAATTATTAATTTTTACCTTATAATATAATATTAATAAATACCTGTAAAATCAATAAATGTTTCTGGAACAATGGTATTTTTTTTAAAAACTCCGATTTTTCTTTCGGATAAATATGTATAAAATAAGGCAATAAATGATCCATTTTAAATGTTTCGGGAATTAAATCTTCAAAGTTCTTCATTTGAGTTAGTCCTGATTTACTTAATACAGATAAAACGTTCTCTGTGCTTTAAGTAAAAATAAATAAGTATAAATATAAAAATTTCTAACCTTATAATTTAATAAATATAGGATATAGGTGTATTATTAATAAACTTTAGTCACCTGGTCAAAAATGTGTTTATCCAACAACTAATTACAGTTTCCGAAGATTTTTTGAATCGCTCATTACGTAAATGTCTTGGCAACATATCAGACAATGATAAGGCGCAATGTTTTATTCTAAATTTCGAAAAAGATGCGGCTAATTGGATTTTTATCTCTTTTAGAATGTCAGCTATTTCAATCAACTTTAATGTCTTGAAACTCAATATCTCCTTTTCATCTAATTGTCTTGGTTTAAATTTATTCCGGTAGTAATCAAAAGACATCAACCATACAAGAAGTGTCATCTTAGAATACTTTTAAAAATTAAAATATATTAAATTAAATATAAAAAAATTAAACAAGTGTGTTAAAGTTAGAAATAAAAAAAAATGAATCTTACATTTGGATAGATTTTTTCAAAATCTATATTATTTAGAATTTCGTTGATAATCGATCTATCTAAAAAATCAGAATAAGACCTAAAATTAGAATTATTTTAAATTATCTATAATTTTAAAAATTTTACTCATAATTTTAATTATTTTTTTGTATGCTTATTTTTAAAATAGATATATTTTATTAATTATTTTTTATGATAATTGCATTAATTTATATATTTTTATTTATATAAAAGAAATCATAGTACAAAATACGTATAGTTTTAATCTTACATCTAAACACTTCAAATATTATGTCATACACTCTTCTCATCTGGTTATCAGAAGCAAATTTTATACCATGTTTCTTAGGATTTTCTGCACTTAAAACTTTAGCCGCAAGCACCACCTCGCGATTTGTCCAAAGCTCAGTATTTCGGTCGAATTCCTCAACAACTATTTCCTTTTCAAATTCCAATAGGTAATCCTCATCCAATAATTGGTCAGTTTCTTTTGGCGATGTATGAAATGCAGTTTCAAATAAATACCCAACTTTTAAGGACGACACCATTGAAACTGGATCATCAACCCTAATAATTATATGTACATATAATAAATAGTAACAATAGTAAATTACAGCCGTTTAAACACTAAAATATAAAATTATAATAATAGCTTTTCTTGACCTTTTTTTCTAAAAAATTCTACATGAAAATGGAAGTACTAGCATCATCAAGTATGCTTCAGTATTTAAATTATTGGTAAAATGTATAGAAAAAAACAAGCTTTTTAAAAATATCAGCTATTAAAAATTATCAACATTGGCTAATTTGTTAGCAAGAATAACTTCTACAAAGAATTCTAAGACGATAATCTATGTATGAATATAATTAACAACTCTTTATAAAGTATACATTAAAATATATTTTTTTTGCTTCATAAATACTTTTTAAATTCTATTTAATTATTACATCTAAATTTATTTTCTGTGTATTTATAATTATTGCTAATCATAAGATATTTAGTTAACATTAAAAACAATTATCTATACTTGTATTTTTCTTCTAATTAATAATGTATGATTTTAACAGAGAACATTAATCGACAATTGCATATTATACTACCTATAATTTATCATTAGAATAAGGTTCTATTTAATAACTATAAAGAAGTAAGATTTACCATAAGTATAGGTATAGAAGATTAAATAATCAATTAAAATAAAACATAATTGAATACACTAGCACCAATATATTTCAATATGAATACTCTGTCACATGAATAAAATAAACATACTTTTCCAATAATAAGCAATATTTAATAAATTAATTAAAAAATATCACCAATTATATATCAATTATCGTACATCAACATTAAACTAACTACTAAACTATATCCAGAATAAATAATACTTACACATTTTCTTGCTTGCTCATGTCTCTTTGTTTTTCTACCAATTTTTTATAAGTACTCAACTGCCAATCTGGATCACTGGGTAACGTTATTTTCAAATAATCCAAATTCGTGTACACTCTATCAAGTTTCAGTATTTTATTTACATCAGCCATGTTTGGTTTTAAAATTAAAACAATTTATAAAATGTATTTATATTATAATTATCTAAACGTTTAGATAAAATTAACCGAATATAAATTTAAAAAAAATATATTTACAACACTATTATACTTTATAAAATACCATAATAAAAAATAACTGCAATTTTCTACTTTATATGTATATTTTTAAAAATCCAACATTTAAATAGTCCAAAATAAAAGGCAACACATTTAAACTGGGTCAACTGTTGATATTATTCCGACACTGGCAATTTGGAATTGACTGAGAACCACAGAATGTTCGCATGTCTAACTTCATTTTTGATACGCACGTATGGTAATAGATTGCCAAAAACACACTCGTGTTCCATTTATAGAATATAATTTGATTTGTTATATGGTACGAGCAATAGGTTCGTGTTGAATTTAAAGTTAAAGTACTACAAAGTAGGTAATAGATTATCGTAATGATATCGCGTTTAAGAAGGATGTAACCAAAGGTTAGGTCTATAAAATAAAAATCATATTACATACTGCACGATTAAATCAGACACGAAAAATTCCAAAATAAAAAATAAAATAAGAACTGATATAATATTTTAGTCTACATATGCAGTGAACAGCAAAAAATAATTGCTGATTTATATTAAAATAATATATCGTTGTACTTCGGTATTTCTTACCTAACTTGAGTACCTACAAATTACGAAGTATGTACATTCTAATCATTTTGTCGATTGGATAAAAGACTTAATATAAGCTATATTGTATCTACTTAAAGAATTTATCCATCATATAAAAGTTTTCAAAATTACTAAATTTTAATTCTTTTGGGGCATTTTATATATTATAAATAACAGACAAAAATTGTATTTAAATTAATACTTATCTTATAAAATATATGAATACATAATATTATACAGGTATACCTAATAACTTTAAATATTTATTTATTATTTAATAATTTAAGTGTTCTTATTAATTTTCAAAATAATAAAAACATGTTTAAAAACTAGATAGTTACACAAATCACCTACAACTATATCTATTATATAAATAAAAAATAATTTACATTTTAGAAAATGTGAGACTTTTTGATAGGTACCTAATATAAATATATTGATGCATAGTATAAATGCAACGTGGTTATACAATCTATATAAGGCCTAAAATATGCGTATTACATAATATAGATGATGCTTATAATAATTATAATGCCTACCTTCTTAGATTAACATTATAACTGCACTATATTTTTTATGTTAATCTATTATGCTAACACTGATAGCCTATTATTTATAATGACAGATTATATATACAGATGACGTTAAAATATACTACATCAGTGTCATTTAGAGACATTTAACAATTTGTGGTATTACGAAGGTAGTTTTTATTTTTCTAGACCCGGAATTCGTAAGTTATTAAGACTTATAGATTTTGGAGAGGTTAGTAAGGTTTGTCATGCAAAATTAGGACGAGAATATTTTGTCATTTAAATAAAATATTTGATATCTATATTTTATAAATTTTTTTATGATAAAATATATGTACCTAATATGTATATATTATGTATAATTTATATATATCAAAAAATAATCATAATCTTACATAATAAAACACTTATTAATTTTATGACCACGGTTTAAATTACAGGTTAGCTATCGCCTATTGAAAGACCTCTCCTCCCTCCTTGAGTGGTCATAAATCTTCATTTGCTGAGGTTAACTAGTTCATATTTCCACCTCATAGACAGTGCGTTATTATAATAATAAACTGTATTTCCTCAGGTGTATAGCAAAATAATATATTAACATAATAACAACTTATAATTAACAATTATTATTAGAAGCGAGAAACATTTTTTAAGTACCTAGGTATCGGTTCTCTTACTTCTTTTGATATACATCGTATCATTTTATACATTTCTTATTTGATCAAATGTATAATACAATAGATTAACAGTATATTCTATTAATTAATAGAATTAAAGTGTTAACAGGAAAATGCATTAACCACGTTCACCCCTATTTGTTCTTTAATAAAAATTGTATTCAAATTTGATGTAGAAATTTTTTAATAATATACCTATTAAATGGCCATTTTTTTAAAATTCTTAAGATTTTTTGTTAATTAAAGATATTAGAGCAGAACCCCTTCGAAATAATACTGAGGACTTAACGACCCAAGATCACTCTATGCCTATGATTATATGAACTAAATAAAACAAGATGAGAAAAAATTTGAACTTTTTTCAAAACTCACATCATATAATTAGATTGAATATTGATCAATATCTATACATACCTGTTACCTATAACGGAATATAAACTGGACTTTTAATCATGAAAAACGGTCTGTTTCGTTTTCGTATAGGTACCGGTACCTCCCAGACTCAGTGTTATTTTAAATGTTCTACCACGTGATACAAACACGAAACATCCTATTCTTCGCGACTCATATCTTCTGTAGTTATACTCTACTAGTCTTAAACTAGTAACTACCTAGCAAGGTAACATTACATTCATTAGGTTACCTCACATCTAACCGAATATTATAAGCTGTTCTAGATGTCACAAAGATTGAATAAATAGGTACAATAATATTAATAATAATAATAATAAGATAATTATAAAATAACAATATTACTATAAATATAAAACGAAAACGAATTAATCAAAATATACGAGTATACGTGGATGCAAAAATGAATTTTTTCAAGTATAATGTATATACATATCACTCTTTTTACACAGTAAAGTAAACTACGATAGTTAATTGGTATAGTAGTATGAAACCACGGTATCACTAGGTATGATTAGATTTCTTTGAACTAAATACCAAATATCAAAGTGGATACTACGGTTCATTGAAAAAATTAAAGACGGCATTATCTTCTGGTTGCGACAGGTGATCTTAAAATAACACAAAAATAAGAAAATGTAACACTATCTAACATTATAATTTATAAATGTGATTGGTCATCGTGACTCGTGACCATTTTTAAGAAATTAAAATTTTCAAATTGCTCAGAAATGATGGAGATGAAACCTTAATTTAAATAATATTTAATATTGTCATGTATCTAAGCGAGGCACATTGAGTATCTAAAATGACGGTAATAGACAACACAGTCAGTTTTTGTCTGAACCAAAGTTTATATAATAACTGTAAATTCTATAACCGCGGTCTAGACACAAAACATTATAATAACATCTTAATTTTAATTTAATTTACATTATTTAAACAATTTATGAATAAAAGCTCGAAAAACATTGAACTAGTTGAAATTAAATGTTCATGTTTATATAAGATCAGCAACTATACTCTAAGTATGAAATAGGAACTAAAAAAAATTAAATACTCAAAAAGCTTATTTTAATTAATAAACCATTATAGTAGCTATCTAAAGTTTTAAGTGTAAAAAACGCACAAACATTGACTATAGAACTAAATGTGCAGTACATTTTACTGTTTTTTTAATAGCTTTTCGAGATGTAAAAAAAATACAGTATGGGTATAAAACCTTTATAAAATTCATTAAATTATAAGGATAAAAGTTTATCTAAAAATATAATTTTTATAAGTAAAGAACATTGATATCTAGGCAACTAAAAGAAATATAATGAATACATACAACCTTCCTAATTTTTTCTAACATAATTTGTACACCTTTTCTTAACATATTTACCTAACATAAAAATTTAAAATTTAAAATCATATTTTGACTAAAATGTGGTATTTTGCTTTAAGTGTGTAAAAAGCACAGACAAGTAGAAAACAATTATTACACTGACAAATAAGTAGAATATTCTTAGTTCTGCAGTTGTATAATATTTTTTATATATATTATATCTATAAACATACAAATTTTAAAGCACCGAGAGCAAACGAGCTTAAACCAACAAGAAACAAAAATTCTTAAATTGTTTTAAATGTTAACATTATTTTTAAAAACAATTTAAATTTCTTGTTTTTAAAAATTTATTATAATGATTACCAATACATTTTCATTTGTTTATACATATTATACAAAAATATACAAATGTTAATTAATATAAAAAATTATTTATTAATTTATTGTTTATACTTTTTTATTTAGAAACATTAGTGTTTGGTATCGTAACTTCAATAAATAAAGAACAATCGTCACAAGGAAATAATAAAGATTCTGTCTGATCAACATTAACAACCATTGACTTGGGTACTAAAAATTTGCCTCCACAGCGGCATCTGTAGAATAATGTGTCATCCATTTCGTTATTTTCTAAATCACTAATACTTAGAAAATCATAGATTGTTACTTCTGTATTAATATCATTTTGTTCAATTTGCTCATCATATTGTTTTTTTAAATCAGAATCTTTAAGAACGCTCCATGCTTTATTCAATTCAGCACAAGCAGCTGATGATGATGATGATGATGAAATATTTTTATCTGGATGAATTTTTAAAAGTAATTTTTTATAATTATCCTTTAATGTCTCAAAAGGTGTAGACTTATCACAACCTAATATTTCATACAAATCTTTTTTAACCTGGAAACAATAAAATTAAAATTAATTAAAAATTAAATTGTACATTTTTATAAGGTAAAACATAAATTATTACCCAGGTTAGTTAAGAAAGGATATTTATATACCTAATATATTTATTCTTATAAATTATCATGTGTCAAAAAATTAATGATTTTATAAAAATAATGATCATAAAATGTCAGCTATCAGGATTATAGAAACTATTAAGTATCAATACATATTTACTATTTTATTTACCTCAATATTTTCACTAGTTTGTATTACTCGTCTAAATGTTACAGAAAATCTAGTTCCACGATAAACGACATCAAGACCATCTACAGTATTAATCATATCAATTTTTCTGGGTGTTATACCATGAGTCCATTCATACCTTGATTCACCAGACATAATTAAAAGAGATTTTGCCTTGAGAAAAATACCACTACGCTTTAACCCGTTTCTGAATTCCATAGTAACATCAGAATTCAATGATAGAGACAAAATATATTCATCAAACACTGAACAATTATCAAAGTGATTTGGAATTCCTAAAACATAATGAAACACATTAAAGTTATATGAAAGATAGTCTATTCTATTCTTTTCCAAAGCCCAAAAAAAATAAGAGAACCTAGTACAATAAAGTACACATAAAGCCAAATAGGTAGTTCTTTACTGAAACTATAATACTCTTAAGTGTTAAAATCTAAAATCTCAACTTGTTATTATGAAATATAAAAATTGAAGGGTGTGAGTACCTATATGAGAAAAACCACACTCACTTAATACTTTTATTAATAGTTCTTAATATTTATTCAAAAATATACCTACTAAATAATATGCAATTTATTTAATATTATTAGTCATTTAATGTTGTAACTAAGAGAATTTTAAAAATTTGACAATAAAATACACGCACAAAAATCTAGAAAACACCAAGTTTCAAATGTTTTATTTTTTATGAATGAACCAAAAAACCAATAAATAATTTTAAGTATTAAAACTTAAAAATTATTAATACCTATTTTAAACTTTAATACAAGATATTATGCAGAATTTTTAGTACATAATCTAAGTTTTTAAATATTTTACCTTGTCCAGGTAAATATTTGTTAACAGTTATTTGATTAGGACGCCATTTTAAACGCAAATAAATAGCATTTAAAATAAATTCAAATTCTTTAGGAATCGGATCACATGTATCATATCGAACGTTATTAAAATCATAATCAAATTCATATCCATAATGTTTCACTTGACGATGCTTCATTGAACCTAGAAATTTAACTCAATTATATAATTATTCATAAAATTTAAATTATTAAAATTTTACTTGATCCAGGCCAATGTTCATTCAAATATTCTAATATAAAATTTTCTTCTTCTTCTGTGACGAAATTTTCAATAATTTCTAATCCAGGGGGTGATACAGTTGGCAATTCTATTGGTTCTGGAACTATAATAGAAAATTTAAATTACATAAAATCATTTTGTCTTCAATATACAAATAAATATTACTTGAAACGGTAAAAATTAAAAAAAACATTTTATGTTCATTAGAAAGACCATTGAATTTTCCATTTATTTTCTCCAATGCATTTGTTGCTTCTTCTATTTTAGTGAAAGAAATAAAACAATATGATTTGTAAGGTATCATTATTATGCGTTCTATTTGACCACATTGATAAAAAACTTGTAATAAATCCTTTCTTCTTAAACCATTTACCAATCCACAATTGCACACCATTAAATTCTAAAATAAAATAATTATTAATAAATCATTCATTTTTTTATTTTAAAAATCATTTAATTGAATTATTTAAATTTATCAATAAACCCAAAGACAGAACAACATATCAGTAAAAGCACAATATTCCACAGATTTCGAGATCCAAAAAGTCTTTTAATAAAACTTTAAATTGTTTTAAAAAATGTTAATTAATTATTTTATTTAATGGTATTAAATATACAGAGTATTATTATAAAAGATATAGTAGGTATCAAAAATATGGAATACTGAAATAGTATTATATAGAATAAATTTAGTTTTATATCAATATTTTAACATTATTGTCACACAATCAAAAACAAGATTAATAGGTTTTAGTAAAATTAGTGGTTTAATAAATCATATTTTACAACCAACTGTAATCAGATGATAAAATGAGTAAGAGTGCAAAACAATTGGTAGATGACATTAAAGACTTCAATTTATCAAAGCTACCACAAAAGTAGAATCATTATTTTTGTGAACTTAGATTAATCTTGCAATAAAGTTTTTGAAATGAGTTTATTCTTTATTCATAAATGTGCATTAAAGGTATTGCCTCCCTTGCCAAGAAGACCCCTGTGCATGCTTATGGGTGTATTAATATTAAACAATGATAATTTATTTTCAATATTAATAGAACAGTTGAAATGGATAATTATTGCCTTATTTTAGAGATGTTTTAAACGTGTAAAAGATGGGAGCTTTGTCTCAATCTAAATTAAAGGTAGGGAGTTTTTAATTATATTAAACATTTTTTAAATAGTTACAACTTATAATATTTGTCTTGAAATATTTTAATATTTTATAACAACTAACAAAATGTAAAAAGATGTGTGCTCAATGCCGTTACTATTATTAGATTTTCCATTTAATAATTTTATTATTATAAATCAACCTAAATGCTGGAATATGTTTAGTTAAATAGTTTGTTGTATAAATTCAATAAATTAGCAGAATCTGGATCATTGTTCAAGAATAAAAACAAAACGATCCAATTAAACATTAAATTTTTCTTCTCAGCGCCAAAAAAATTAAACTCTTTAAGGATATTATACCTAGTGAACTTGGTTCAACTTCAAGTAGTAAGTGAGTGTTATAAGTAGGTATTAAAATAATAATACTAAGTACTTGCCTGTTTGCCAACCTAATATATTTATTTTTTACTCTTAAAACTATTAGATTTTTAAAAAAAATTACAATAATTATACTTTTATTCTGCCATTAATATATTATAATGTCTAATGAGGTGTTTTAATTAATTATATTGCTGTTATCACAATTTACAGATGTTCAAACACAGCACTAAAAAACTTCAGCGTCAATTGAACAAAATGAACATTAATTTATGGTTTTGATGATATCATAAAAGTAAATGTAAATTTATTAAACTAACCCTGTATGGATGTATGATGCTATTTTTAGTATTGCTTATATTGAATAATCATACTTGCATTATATCATATGCCATAACCTATAAGACTAGTTAATGCAACAAAAATATGAATTAAAGTTGCTTAAGAAGTATAAAAAAAGAAAAATTATCAAAATGTTTTTTTAATGAATGAAATTTGTTTTGTAGAAAGTATGATTTAGATGAACAGACTTAGAAATCAAAACAAACCAGCTCAAAAAAAAAAAATGGATGTAGAACTTTCAGAGGATGAAAGATCAAATATGGCATATATTTATAAATTATATTTGTAATATAACATTAGATTAAAACTATTGCTATGGTTAATAAAAGGAATAATTATACTGAAGATACTTTAAGATTATTAGCATATTTTTCTCTCAATTGTTTTTATGACGAATAGCCTTCAGGTACTATATATTTGGTTTAATATTTGAAGCATGAATTGCTTGAAACCATGTATAGCTAAGATTGAGAAGTATTAATTGAAACTTTCAGTTAATTAAAGTTATATTTGTTTAAATCTTAATTAATTTCAACCAAGGATCCTTATCACTATCAGTTTCTAAAGAATTCCAACACTGAAAATGATGTGTACTTCGATAAAAATGATGAAAATAATTGAAGATTCTCCATAGCAAGGAGTAGCAAAAATTATAACTCGTGAAACAAACTCAACAGATAGTTTAAATAAATTGCATTTGTATTTAGTACATTTAAAATAATAAACTATGTATAAAAGCTTGTAAATGATTAAAATAATATTTAATCAGAATAAATTATCTATAACGATAATAATGGTATTTTATAAATGTATATTACCGTAGTTGGATTTAAGCTAGCTTCAATATTCATTTCCTTCTTCAACATAGATGCATACATTCGCATTTGTTTACTATTTACTAGTGCCATTATGAGATATGATTATGAATTATTAGCTTACATAAATAATTCAATAAGTAAAGAACAAAAATGGAAAATCATCTAGCATTAACAAAAAGATACAACAGTTCTACAACATAGTGAGAATATCTACCGGAGTACCGGCTACCGGCCACCGGCTACTATCCCACTGATTACTGAATAGTGAATACTGAATAATATAAATATTAAATAATAGATATTAAGTAGTATTTAGTATTTAATTCTTTAACTTTCTAACGTAGCATTTGTATCACAATTCACAATATATCACAAGACACAAATTAAATAAATAAGCAGAATGATTATTCTGTGATAATAATGTTATCCATGATTATAGCATGATATGGAAGATAAGTTATCACAAACTATGATAATATAATGGATTATTGACCACGGTTTAAGTATAACGGTTTGAGTTATACTTAAAACATGGTACGGACTGGAAACGAACTAATGGGCGGGTGATGGGAAGCTGCGAGCCGGACCAATTAAGATTTTAGGTAAGTTTATGTGGGAGGAAATTAGCAATTATGTATCGAGCATTCGAGCACTACCTACATTCATGTCATTCATTATAATATTATAAATTTATAATGATGGAATCATTATAATATTATAAATTTATAATGATGGAATATAAATGCGCTCTGTTATGCATTACTGATATCCCCTCTCACACAAGCCTACTCAAAATATTAAGCGGCCTGATGATTTAGCTCTCGTTATCATAGATGAGAATATTATAAATATAATTTTACTTGTTGATTGTTATTCTAAATAGTACCTAAATATTCTACAATCTACATTCACTACGGCAGCGGTTGAATTTGTTCAGCGGTAAATACTAAATAGTAATTAGTAATGCGTGCAGTGCAGTGCTTACGTTAACGTCGTCAACCACGTGACTTACATGTTTTCTTGAAAATGTTAACTCTATTTAAAGTTAAAACGTTTGTAAAAAAAAATTCTAACCGCGATTTAAGTAGTTTATAATCAATGTCTAAACTAATAATACAAAATTAAAGAGTTGGTAGATAGATATATTGTAATGACTCCTAGAAGTCGTTGAAATGAAGGAGTTAAAATTATTTCAACGTAAAATTGTTAGTGTTATTTTTTAAGTTATAACATATTCTAAGTGTTTTAAAATTAAAATTAACCAAGTCCATATGACTGTATTCATTTATGGTAGCGAGTGATGTGTTGTTGACTTGTTGCAAGCTTTGTGATTTTACATCTGAGTAGGTCCTAACGGCCTGAAGATCAGCTATTCTGGTAGTCGGCAAAGAAGTCCGTGCCCCTCCCCCTACCATATTTGGATTGATATGACTATATGTATATGGTCTGCAGATTCGTCCTACGCTATTTCTAATACATATTATGTAGAAAAAACTACACGTGCCGGATATCCAAAGGAATAATATTCTTCTGTCATCGCGTTGTAACTCTATTCCCATGCACACAATTCACACGGTTTGGTTTTACGTATTACTTACCTATATTATTTGACATAATACTCTGTAACTAATTATATTTTATCATACACTCCCTTCTGTGTGTATACTTAATAAATATATAGATACAAATGCTGGCATATGGTCCCTGTCGGCTACCATTATGATGTATAATAAATACACATAAAATCTCAAGTCATAATATAATATATATATATATATATATATATGTATGTGTGTATAATAAGTAGAGTACAAATTTTTATGCACTAAAAAGTATCGAAATATGCCATATAATATGCAGTAAAAATCATAGAAACATACAACAGATATACAAACATTTTTTTTTATTTATATAAAATTCACAAATTAAACAACTTATAACTAATTACTTAAGTACTTGATGAAAAATTTCAGTATTAATAAACAATACATTTCAAATTTTAATATTATACAAAAATATGCAAAAAAAACTTCACTATAAGATTTAAATTAATAATTATTATAATTCGTGAAGATAACTAACAAATATCCAAACAAGAGAAAAGGAAAAAAATATACAATTACATAGAAATCCGTGCTCTAGTAAAAAGGTTTATAGAAGTGGTATCATTCATCACAAGAGATAAAATATATTACATATCTACACACCTAATGTCGGAAACTACTGGAGACTTCTATAAAAATTAAATTAAAAGATTCTTTGAAACTCCAATGACGTTCTAATAATATAGCTTATTCGTTCAATCTTTTTCGTTTTGGCTCACGTATATTGAATGTTTATTTTGATTAAATAGGTATAACTTATACCTTATACCGTACAAGGTTGTCATCAGGGCCACGTTAACCCAGATTAGGTTAAAAAAAAAGTAAACGCGACAAATTTTGAAAGACAATAAAAGAATTAAACTAAAAATAAAAAAATAAAAAAATGTAACGATAGTTTTTTATAAATAAGTTTTTTAGTTCAATATAAAAGAAAATTTTAAGAATGGTTTAAATTATTACAATATCGCAACAATCTTTCATTAAAGCTCAACATATAAATAATGTAAATTTTCTAACTTCTATATACATAAATACATGAATCACACATTTATAAATACCTTACATTCTAAAAAGGGACAATACTGGGTTTTAAACAAAAAAAAAAAATTCAACAGGTAGATGTGGACCATATAAGGAAAAAAAGGCATATTTTTACTTTTTTTTTATAATATTGCATAATTTTCCATTTTTTTTTCTCATAGTTTTCTAGCATCATAACTTATGGTGTATTTGAAGTTTCAAAATGTAAAATTTATTCCTTCACCTATATTGTATAGCATGAAACGTGGTTTTCTTAAAAAAAAAAAGTTTTTTGAGGGCCTTTTGTCGTAAAAATATCGAAAATCATATAAATTATTAAATAAAAACATAAAAAGGAAGAGCAACACTGCATCAAACATTTTAGCTTGTTTCAAATTTATTTACAAACATTTTACAGTTTAAAAAAGAGGTAATACTAGGTTTTTAATAAAAAAAATCAACAAGTGGCTGTGATCCTTATAATGAAAAATAAGCAATAGTAGGCCATTTTCGAAAAAAAAATTTTTTTTTTCTTTTCTATTTTGTGCTGTAACATCCAAAACAAAAAATAAAAAATCAACATTACATAATAACGATTCGAACCCAGATAAATTAATTTCACTGTGATTGGAATAATGAACATTGAATTTTATTTTTGTGATTATTGGCACTATTGATTTTCTATTAAATACAAGAATGGAAATGTATATTGAAATCAATTATAAATTTGGCTTTATATTAAACTTAGGAAATGAGACCTTAAAAATATTTGAATAAAAGATAAAATCTTGTTAAATTATATAATTTAGGTTTAGATACAGATTTTGAAGAAGAATGTTAATACAATTTAAATGTATTGTAAACGATTATCCAGTAGAAGGAAAATTATCATTTGCTTTATTACATAATTTAATTATTACATCGTCTTTAGAAACATCGTTTCCAAACATAAAAATAATGTTAAGAATTATTTTTACTCTACCTTCTTCAATTGCAGGTGATAAAAGATCGTTTTCTATCTTGAAATTTGTAAAAAAATTTTTACGATCATCTTTAATCCACGAAAAAATGTCTAATTTGTCGATAACATGTATTGAATCTGATTTGGTTAAATAAATTAAGTGGAAAGAACTAATACATAAATTTGCAACTACGAAATTCAGAAAAAAATATATTTAAATAGGTACCTACAGAATAATTTAATTTTTTCAGCTATAAATCATAATTCATAAGACAATTATTTATTATTTATTAATTTTTACCTTTTTCATAGCCTGAGCGTGTCCGCAATCTTATTGACAAATCATATTGATTAGCCCGAGTGCGTCCTCAGTCCACATGCAAAAAAATGTCATACATCGAAAACAATATAAATCATTTTCAAAACAATATAATATCAAGGCTAGATTTTTTCAAAAAAATGGCATTTAAACACCAACCAATATATATATATATTTATATTATATACCTACTAAAATAAATGAATAAAATTTTTCTTGAATAAAAAAAAACCATTTAAAATAAATAGTACGCTCACCCAAATTCAAGGGTGTAAGCAAAAGTAAAAGATATTATCATAAATAAGAAACAAAAAATATTTATGAGGTGTAAGCCAGTTCATCCCCTAATACTCTAAATGAACTGAGACGCACTTGGGCTATATCAAAATATGACTTTTTTTCTTGGGATGCATTCTGGTGACCACCTTTTTTTGGACGTACTTTATACTAACCTTTTCTAAATAATAATAATTTTTCACTTTACAAAATTGGAAAATTTAAAACATCAACACGAGGTCCCAATGCATTGCATTCTCTGCACCTTCGCTAAAATATTAAAATATAAAATAAGCATTGCATACCCGGTAGGTACTAATTACGTAAGTATTGATCAAAATTTAACTAAATATTGTTATAAAAGTAATAAAATAGTATTATTTTTTTTTGATATATTATTGTAATACCTATTAAATATAAATTACAAAAATAAAAAACTTGTGAAATATAAAAATCAGGCAAAAAGTTAATATTTCTATTATAAAATTCAAGGTCCGAGATTTTTCAATATAGGTTTATAAAGAAATACATTAGTACCTAATAAATTATAACAAATGTACACCAAATGAATAATTAGTCTGTATTCCATTATCAATATTAACTGTATTCAAATCTAATCAGACATTGATTAAATTCTTGTAATTTTTAAAAACCTACTTACATTAATTGTCAATATTACATTCCTAGAATTAAGATTCAAAAAAAAAAAATGTTTTGCAATATGTTTTTAAGATTTTTATATGATTAAAAATGTATTTTTAAGTTTGAGGTGAAATATTTTATTTGTAAAGAGAAATTATTCATCATTTACAATTTAAATGAATTGTTTAAAGGTACCTGTACATATTATATCTATGTATTATTTTACTAATAAAGAAAGTGACTAATTGCAAACCATATTACCACTTAATCTACATTTTAAAAATAGGAAATAGTCTATATATATTATATAGGATGTATGTATAATATGTAATAATGTAATATGTATTTATACAATACATAACACAATTAACACATGTATAACTATTGAACTATAAAATAATTGATTATATGAAACACACACCATGCTCTATGTAGAAATTATTTTTTTTAATCAGATGAATAACTGATATTATAAAGTATATAACTATAAAGATTTACTACTAACCTAACTTACTACAACATATTAGTTATTGTTACAAAGGATAAATCCTG